AAGCCTTGCTGAGAAGGGAGCTCTTTCTGCAGCACAGAACTGAAAGGGGCCAGAGTGGGTGAAGACCAGCTCGCTAAGGAGAGGGTAGTGCTGCTCTTAAATAAAGACACTCCTTTCAGATAAGCAGAATCGGATTCCCAGGGCTGGGTTGCTGGCTAGCCTTTCTTTGAACCCTCATATTTAACCCAGCAGGCTTCAAAGCAGGTGAGAAAATGACCTACCACTTAAAAGCAATTTTTCCTTTTTCAGGAATCCTGGCCTTGGAGAATATCAGCTCCGGTATCAGTACATTCCACATCTTCGGGGATTTATGCAACCTTTTCATTGCTCTGTGCATAATGTCAGATGAGGTTTTCATCTTAGTCTGGAGAAAAATATCTTAACTTGCTGAAAACTCAGTCTGATTCGACATAGCTTGATACCATGAAAAGGGGGAGAGGGGATAAACCAATAATCATTCCAGCTCATTCATTCTCTTCCATTTCTTTAAATTTGATACACAGTGAGAATTTTAAAAATCATTAACTGTAGGACTGAGGATGCAGCTCAGTTTGTAGAGAGCTAGTTTACCATACTCAAAGCCCTAAGAATTCAAGGTCATCCTAAACATCATAGTGCTTTCCAGAACACCTGGTATACATAACACCTTGCCTCAAAAATAATATACCCCAAATCATTCATCTCCAGTGCCTGGAATTATAAAAATACACTTTTGTAATAAACATATTTTAAGAAATGCAAGTAGAATTTGCTTTAACTTGTGAGCTAATACAAAAAAGATGCTAGAGAAAGAAGATAAAATGGTGATAACAAAAAATTTAGATTTAGTCAGACATGGTGACACATGCCAACAGTCATGGATACTCTGAAGGATGAGCTTTGAGGATCACTTGAGTCCATGATCTTGTGACCTGCCCTGGCAACAAAGTGAGACCCATCTCTAAAAACAAAAGAGGGAGGAGCAAAAATGGGGCTGGAAGAGACAATAATAGTAATAATAATAATAATAATAATAATAATTCATCAAGAGATAATAATAATTTGGTAAGTTTTCTTAAGTGGCTTTGCCTTATTAAGAAGTAGGACAATTATATTTCATCAGTTTCTACTTTATAGTGCCACTATATATCTGATCTAACTGAAAAATCCTTACACAGTTTACAACTTGCCAAAATGTTCTGTTCTTTTTTTTTAAAATAATTTCTTTTTTTTAAAGACTTTTTATTTATTAGTATACAACATTCTGCTTCCATGAATATCTGCACACCAGAAGAAGGCAGCAGATCTCATAATGGATGGTTGTGAGCCACCATGTGGTTGCTGGGAATTGAACTCAGGTCCTCTGGAAGAGCAGTCAGTGCTCTTAACCTCTGAGCCATCTCTCCAGCCCCAAAATGTTCTGTTCTATAAAGCAGTTTGCCAGTACTAGGAATTGGAAACATTTTCTTCTTTCTGTGGTTCACACACATGATGTATCAATTGCATATTTTAATTATTTAAATGACATCCAACTATCATTTATACTTCAATTACTATGGAAAATGGAAAAACTCATTTTGAGCTTACTATTATTCTCCAAATGTAGAGATGTAGGCTTTTCCACTGTAGCCTCTCTTTAGTGGTGACAATGATGACAATGAGAGGAATAATATCCATTTCTTACTGTGGAAAAACATAGTTCTAAACACTTGATATATATTATTAAACTCATTTACCCCCAACAAAACCTATGTAGTCCTATTTCTCACTTTACAACTAAGGGCAGAGAAGACTGCATAACTTATATAAGGTTGCATAGACAGTTAAGTGTCAGGGCTGGGATTGGAGCAAAGCAGTTTGGTTACAGAGTGTTGCTCATAACCACTCTGTAATGCTGTCCCTTTTCCACCCTGATAAGGCAGCCTGCTAGCTTGATGTTCCAAATCCCTCATACTAGGTACAGGGTAGAACAAGGCTTCTTATGCTTTAAATATGCAGATGATAACCTGTTAAGACACAGACTCTGATTCAGGAGGTTTACAGTGAAGCTGGAAGCTGTGCATTTTTAACAAGCTCCTAGAGGAAGGTGGTGTTTCTAGTGCACAGACCATACTTTATGAAGTGGTGAAGTGTTGTGGAATAGAATAATTGTTTAACTATGTAAAGATGTGCTGCATTTGTTTAATTATGCAAAGGTGTGATGTTGTTCCCCTTACTTGCCTAAGGCACCTGATTGGGCTAATAAAAAGCTGAACAGCCAATAGCTAGGCAGAGGAGGGATAGGTGGGGCTGGCAGGCAGAAGGAAAGGGAGAGACAGCTGGGGAGCAGCCAACCAGACACGGAGGAAGCAGGAAAGCAGGGTGGACATTACGTAGATGAGGGAAGTAAGCCTCAGGGCAGCAATAGATTAATAGAAATCGGTTAATTTAGGGTTTTTTTGTTTTGTTTTGGTTTGGTTTTGGTTTTTCACGACAGGGTTTCTCTGTAGCTTTGGAGGCTGTCCTGGAACTCACTGTGTAGACCAGACTAGCCTCGAACTTACAGAGATCTGCCTGCCTCTGCCTCCCGGGTGCTGGGATTAAAGGCATGCACCACCAATGCTCAGCCTTTTTTTTTTTTTTTTTTTTTTTAAAGCTAGCTAGAAACAAGCCTAAGCTAAGGCTAGTCATTTATAGTTAATAGTAAGTCTCCATGTCATGATTTGGGGCTGGAAGTCCAAGGAAGCCGGCTCTAGTGAAGAACTGCAACAGGAGGCTCTAGTTCTTTTCTGCATGTCTCCTGTCAAGGCATTTAAGCAATGCATATTATAAGGAGCAGACTGCCTGTTCACAATTGTTTTCCATTTGCTTTTACACAGGAATAACTGCTGCCACATACTGATGTGCAGATCCCATACACATGTAACAGCCAAAGTTATAAAATGTGGCTGTAAAGGTTTACTCTCAGCAACTTATTAACTACTATATATATCAACTATACAAATAAAATATAGTATATAAATGTTTATTGCTCAGGAACTAGAATTATAATATATTAGTAACTTTTGGTCTAAAAAAAAGAAACATCTACTTTAAACATGTAATTCTTCATTCTCAAGTCTCTGTTAAGAGTGCTAAGGAACTTGTGCTATGTAACCTTAAGGCTCTTCTGGTGCCATTAGTGACCCCTTCAGCAAAGGCAGTTACTATATGAACATTGATGGATAGAGAATAGAGTACACTTCACAGTCATTTAGCCTGAACTTCATGGAAATACACTGTTGATTGCTACATCTCTATTCCAGATTCCTCTCCCACTCTACTTCTCTTCCTTCTATTCCACTGCCTTGAGAAAAACTCAGGAACCATCTCTCAATGCTTGTCTGTATCTTTTAAATACACGGATTATGGGACTACCCTCACACAATTCTTTTTCTTCTTCTCTTCTAACTTTTAAGTGGATAGGATTCCCTTTATGATCCATTTTTTCCATGCTTCTCACACAGTGAGGGCATGCCAGTTTCAGATGCACTCATTCCCCATCAAGACCACAGCAATCAACAGTAAAATTCATTTCATTACTAAGCTTCCTTTCTATACTAAGAGGAAATGGAATAGACAGTCTGCAACTCACACATCTACACTCCCTGAGCAGCAGTGGGAAGTTAATTGGCTCAGAGCTTGACTCAAAATCAAATGCATACTCAGACTCTTAGGCTTACAGCCAGTTGCATCTTAATACATCATACAGTTGACCTTTGGAGAGAAGGGGAACCAGTGTCCACAGCATGGGTGCCATATGAGCTAACTAATCTGTAAGGCAAAAGATCAACTTTTTGTCTTTTTTTGGTTTGTTTGTTTGTTTTGTTTTTTGAGACAGTGTTTCACTGTGTAACCCTGGTTGTCCTGGAACTTGCTTTGTAGACCAGGTTGGCCTCAAACTCACATAGATCTACTTGCCTCTGCTTCCCGAGTGCTGGGATTAAAGGTGCGTGCCACCACCATTGTCTAAAATAAACTCTACTTATATCAGGAAAAGAAACTATGAGAAAAACAAGTAGTTATAATGGAAGCACATATATATAGAAAATATACTACCAAATAAACTGATTCCTCTATGGCTCTCAGTGCATTGTTTTATGTTTGGGAATATAATAAAACAACACTTTCTTTTGGGTTTTAACCCATTATTTGGTGAATATGCTAGGATATAAAAGGGGTATGTATTTATTTGCTTATAGTTAATTTATTATTATTGTGCTTGCATAATGGGGGAGGCACAGGCATCATGACATATATGAAGGTTAGAGAACAACTTTGTAAACTTGATTCTCCCCTCTACCTTTATGTGAGTTTGAATTTAAGATTGCTTAGATTAGGCTTAGTACTTTACCTGTTGAATCATCTTGGCAACCCCCAAGAAATATGCATTTTTAAAATTATTTAAAAATTATTTTTGGTATATTAATTAATAAATCTGTGTAGAGGAATGATAAGAGATACAATTTTAATATCAGTCATCAGCTAGACAGTGGTGGCATGTCTTTAGTCCCAGCACTATGGAGGCAGAAGCAGGCTCTCTGTGAATTTGAGGCCAGCCTGGTCTACAGAGTGAGTTCCAGGACAGCCAGGACTACACAGAGAGTTGCTGCCTCAAAACAAACAAACAAACCAGTCCTCAGTCAGGAAATAGGGAAGGAACTCAAAATCAAAGGGTTAAAATTAAAATAAAGGGTGACTATATATACTATATTATACATATAATATAGTATATTCCATACTAAAGACTGGAAAAAGCCAATACAAGGGTGCAGATACAAAAACCGGGAGAACCTTTGAGTCAAGAAGCACATTCTATGTGCAGGGCAAATATCCCACCTGTGCCTTTTATGCACTTATTCTCCACCACTGTTTTACTCTTGAGTTAAAAATCAGAAAATATTTTGAACTCATGACTTCATTTAAATGGAAAAACTCAAAAGGTTTGTTTACAAAATTAGTAAAGTTTTTAAATATCAAAGAAAATACACTAGAGATAAAGAAAAATTGGATTATTCTTTAGTTGGTAAGGAATGCCGCCTTAATCACCCAAGTAATTACAAAGGCCAACTACATAGTGTGACAGCATTGTATTCTTAAACTTTTAAGCAACAGACATTCACATCACCAGAGTTCATGGTTGACATATTTATGGTAGAAGCTTTACAAAGCAGTTCTTGCTGTTTACAAGTATCTTTCACTGCTCGTGTGGGTTAGCACAGACCAGAGCCGCTTTCCCGTGATGTCTTACAAATACTCCACACAAGTCCTTGAGATCATACTCACGGCTTTAGCAAAAACAGCCATGACTTCAGGAAACTGGTGTGTGAGAAATGCTATCATTGCTGTAGAGGAACAGAGCCCTGCTGTAAAGTGGATGAAGAAAGGCAGCTCCTTTTTTGGGTAAACAGAAACATGATGAAAAGCTGCAAGAGAAAATTGGTAAGAGTGAGTTTTGTTCCAGCACAAACCAGTTCTAATATTTTTAAATTAAACCTAGCTTTGAAAATTAAAAACCTGGTTAAAAAATAACAAGAACAAAGGTAAAAGAAAGCTATTCAGTGTATCTGCACAGTGAGATGACCGTACTGGGGTCTGGGAACAGGATGGCATCGTGGGAAAGAACATGAACTATAAAGTCATGCTGAGGTGGCTTTGAAAAAGAGCTTTGTCACTTATTAGCTGTGCACTAAACCCTGTAGAAGTTGCTATGGAGTGTTATGTAGGCACTTAATAAATGTGAGTGTTATTAATTCTCGTACTTTGAAAGCTCAGCAAGTAGTGTAGAGATAAAGAGATAGACATGTCTTGGGGGATTTCCCAGAACCACTGCTTAATAATTTTATTCAGTTATTACTATGCTCTATGTGTGACACTTTACCAAATGTCATGAAAACAGAACCAGGAAGCCAAGGCTCTGGCCATAAATGAAGTTCTTTGCCTTATTTTATCACATTTATACACGTATTATTTTTCTAGTGTTTGAAAGTCTCATTACCAATTTTATTCAACTACTTATATATTATTCAAAGTACTTGAATAACAATAATCTAGAGCTAAGTCTATTAGAGTGCCCAATGCACAGTAGGTGTTCAATAAATTCCTTTTATACTGAGAGCTATGTGAAGACTTCATTAGTCAGGAAGTTGACTGCTAGGACACCAACCCAGGAATTCCTGCTGTAATATCCTGCAGCAGTGAGGAATGACTAACTCCATGCTGAACCAAGGTCAGCTATAAATTTCATTTTTAAAAACGTAACTACTAACAGAGGAAGTTATACCCAAGTTTCCTTCAATAGCTACAATATTTTATACATCTTCTACTATACTCAGGAAGTAATATAAAAACTAAATTCATTTAAAAAATTCAGAAGATCTCCAGAGTCTCAAGTCATATTTCATGTAGAAGCACAATAGCACTGAACTTGGTAAAAGCTACAAGCACTAGAAACTGTCAGCATTTCTCTTTCAGCACCTGGAGAACCAGCTGTCCCTTCTGCTCTACCCCTCATCCATGAGAGCTGGATTTCTCCCAGCAAACAGAGAAACAAACTCTGGTATTTCAGAAGGTGGGGAATTAGACAGTAAAATTCATATCAGCTAAACCCTAAAGCATTTTATGGTTTTTAAAGTTCTCATTTAATTGTTGAAATAACCTGAAGATAAATAATATTGTTTTCACTTTATAATACAGTAAGATTGTACAGCTTTAATAAGAAAACTTACTAAAATATGAGACTTTTATATTGTAGGAGAGACCTAATTATTTCTTTTTGGATTACTTTCCGTAGCTTCACTTGTCAGTCAATGTTTGGCTAATACATCAATATAATGGATGACTGACTAGTACAGAAACACTCCCTTGGAAAGAAAGTTCAAATTTCATCACTGGCTTGTAAAGAAAAATTTATCAGGAGGCATAACAGATGACAAAACAGCTATATGAACTAGGGGAATAGTTCAAGTTTCCACTTAGGAGTCTATAAGCAAATTCCAGAAAGCTGTGAGTCATATCAAGGCTGAAGGAGAATTAAAAACAAAAACCATTAAGTACTCCTGGGTATTAGAACTCCACATTATTAAAAATGTGTTCATTCCACCACAGTCAGAAACAGAAAAATATACTGTAAGAACACATACTATAATCAAACAAGACGCTCCAGCATATTCCTCTATGTCTATGTCCTGGAACTTGAACCATGTATGGAGTTAAGACTTAATGAAAGTCTTATCAAAAGGTTTTTTTGATGAGAAAAAAAACATAACTGGGGGTTGGAGAGATTGCTCAGTGGTTAAGAGCACTGGCTACTCTTCCAGAGGACCCAGGTTTAATTCCCAGCACCCACATGGCATTTCACAATAATCTGTAACTCCAGGGGATCGGACATCCTCTTCTGGACTCTTCAGGCATCGGGTATGCATGAAGACATATATGCAGGCAAACACCCATATACATAAAAATAACTAATAATTTAAAATATATATATTTAAAAAAATCTCTAACTGTGATCTTGCAGCTCCTGGTTCTGACTTAAGAAATATTAATATGTGGGCTGGAGAGATGGCTCAGTGGTTAAGAGCACTGACTGTTCTTCCAAAGGACCCAGGTTCAATTCGCAGCACCCACATGTCAGCTCACAACTGTCTGTAACTGCAGTTTCAGGGGATCTGATGCCCTCATACAGATATACATGCAGGCAAAACACCAAGGCAAATGAAATGAAAACAAATAAATCATTAAAAATAAATAATCCTCACTCCTCTGCCTTCCAAAGGCTAGGATTATAGGCATGAGCTACCACGCCCAGGTATAATACACTTTATAATGATTGACTTAAAAGTTGATTTCTTTGCCTTAAAAGTCTCTGTTCCTTTTTAATTGGAAAAATAATAGTTAACCCCACCCTAAGTAGGCAAATGCAATTTCTCTCACTAATGACCTCCTAATTGCCAAAGTCAATAGATTTTTCTCAGTAATTGCCTTTCCTGGTATCTCAGCTACTCCTCCTCACTGGGAAGTTTCTTCTCCTTTAGTTACTAGTGTATCTAGTTCTTGTGTCTGACTACTCCTTCACTCAATCTTCACTCACTTTCTTGCCATCTTGATTTCACCCTTAGGTTACTCCTCATATGATACAGCGCCCTCCCACCCCCGTAATCCCAGCCTTGTAAAGGACTCCTTTGGGTACCTAGAAATGATAACTGCTTAGTCTCTTTTGTGAGACAGAAAAAGAAATGTCAGGGCCCCTGGCAATTCTATTCAAATAACCTGATCTTGTTTCTAGTCTACAGCTGAATGAACTAGGTATGAACACTTAGATAAAATACAAGCTCTCCAGGACTTGTGGGGCTGGTGAGATGGCTGAGTAAAATGCTTGCTGTACAAGCATAAACACCTGAGTTCAGAGTCTCAATACCCACAGAAAAAGCCAAATGCACCATTCCTGTAACTCTAGAGCTAGGAAGTCACAGTCAGGAAGATCTGTGGTGCTTACTGGCCAGGCAGCCTAGCTGAATCTGAGCCCCAGATTTAATAAAAGACTTTGATGAAAAAAATAAGAAGGAAAGCCATCAAGGAGGATATCCAGTGTTGACCTCTGATATCCACATGGGCATGCAGACAACAATATGAACACATACATATCCCCCCCACACACACAAACAAGTTGGAGAGATGGGGTCAGTAGTTATGAATGTTTGCTGCTCTTGCAGAGGGCCTGAGTTCACAGCAGCCACACGAGACAGCTCACAGATTTCTGTACCACAATATCCTTTCCTAGCTTCTGTGGGCACCTGCAGACACATGTGTGTACATACACAGACACATCAATAAAAATAACATGAAAACTCTAGGATAGAAAACACTATTATTTGTGTCCTTTCAAAAATCTGTGTGTTAGAAATTTGGTCCCTTGGGTGGCAATATTATGAAGTAGAACCTTTAAGAGGTCTAGTAGGAAGATCTTGGGGCAAGAGAAGGGATTGTGGGAAGCAAGCTTGCCTTTCTTCCTTCCTTCCTTCCTTTCTTCCTCCCTCCCTTCCTTCCTTCCTCTCCCTCCCTCCCTCTTTCTAGTTCAAGATAGAATCACTGGCTTATTTGCATACATGTTCCTGCTCTCGCTATGCACTTCACTGGATTATCTGTCAAGGGGAAGCCCCTACTCAGAACCCGAGATTCTCCCTGGATACTCTGAACCTCCAAAATCCAAGCTCAATAATCTTACTTCACAAACCCCGTGTCATATATTTCATTATAGTAACAAGAAGGTGAATAATAGAGCATGACCACCTTTAATCCCAGGACTCAGAAGCAGCTATATCTCTGTGAGTTCAAGGCTTCTGTAGTCTACCTAGTGATTTCCAGGCCAGGAATACATAGTGAGACCCTGTCTCAAATAAAACAAACAAACAAACAACCCCAACACACATACATACACACACACACACACACACACAATGAAACTAACAACAAAAAGGTGACTAACACAGAAACAATCTAAAAATAATCTAAATAATTACTTGTAAGTTGAAGAAAACAGAAGTATTTACTTACTAGGCAGTAGCTCTCTATCAGCAGTTTCTGTGCAGCTGGGATAAGGGTAAAATAGATGTCCTTTCTCTAATGGGTATGGAATCATTCTAAAAGCTGAGAAGAAAAATACATTAGCATTCGATTTTATCTCACTCATCTATGCCATAAATCAAACCTATTCTGCAGACATATTTTTGTAACTTTTTTCCACAAAGCATTTTATCTTCTTTTCTGGAGAGACATTTTAGATGAAATAAAATGAACAGAAAAACACATAGGGGAAGAATGCATGGGGAAAGAATAAGATTTACTAAGAGAACAGGGAGTGGTTTAGTCTGAGTCTAAATGGAATGAATGTTAGAAAATAACATTGGCTGAGGCCTTCTTTGCCTTAGTCTCTTCATCACAATCATGGACTTAACTCCTATAGGAATCTTCAAGAAACAGGAAGGGGATACTTGTGACTCTCAAGCTAAAAGAGTTCTTGATGGCTTAGTATTCCACTTATGAGGCTCACAAAAGTCTTCTATAAGAATGCACAGTCAGGGACTGGAGAGATGGCTCAGCGGTTAAGAGCACCGACTGCTCTTCCAG